ATCTGAATCACATTCAGATCTGGACTTTCTGAGTGGATAGGGTTAAGACCCTATGCTATCTGTTAATCCAATCCCAGAATTCGCCCCTTATTTAAYTGATCAAATCAGCCCAGTTCGAAATGGGCTTTATGCCCATTAAGGTTATGTGCTCACTTAGCCTTCCAAACTGCTGCCCAATTGGGCTTCCTTGTATGGCATGTGACCCAAACATTGATCTACACATCAGCCACATTGGTTCAACCTAGCCTTTGTTACAAGGCTTGGCCGAACACTGTTATGGACAGTGCACCCCTTGAAACCCATCACATGGACTCTATGGGCCCAACACTTACCCTAAGTGGTCCCTGGGCCAAGCCACCTTGTAACACCCAGGGACTGTGGGTAGATGCAAGATTAGCCTATCAGGTATTACCCTCAATGGTTTTACACTTAATCTCTCGGCTCATAATGATCAAACACTACCCGACAAGAGATGACCTCTCCTTCGGCTGCAAGGAACAGTGTTGCACTCTCTACTCACATGGATCCCGGGAATTAAAACATTTTGCAAACGTTTGGAAACCATAATATATATACTTTTATATCTCATATAAAATATATTTTGCAAAACAAATCTCAACGATTGAAATCAGTTGCCGGCAGTCTTGGTTTCCATCAGAGAGAGTGCATCCCTGATCATTAACTTTGTCCGACAAAGGAGCTGATCTTGTCACTATGATCACCCACTCAGATGAATTTTCGGACTGTCCCAACATTCCCAGGTTTTGACCCCCGCTAAGGATCTCACTGATTGACATATCAAAGACAGCCCGATCTGACACCTAGTGCAGTATCATAATCGAGTCTAGGGGTCAGGTGTAACTTTCCAGTTTTGCCTATCAATATCTAAGGTCCAGGGCAATACTGAAAATTTGGTCCGGTTCAAAGATTCAATTCATCCTACACTATATGTGCCTTGGGTCTCACCCTGGCAGCTGAGACAGGCCACCCCAACAATTGGTAGCACACCAGTGTTAGCCTTGGCAGGATAAATCTCCCTAGACTTATCTAAGGGCTGTGAACATTTTAAACTAACACGAGTCTCATAAGTGTCCAATTTAAGGGTATTACACAGAAACACACCACAAGAACATAAATCAAATATGTATTTTATTCATTTACAATAAATTCATGATGTACATCATTCTGATTGGAGCTAAGGGCATACAACTATCTAACAGCAAGTGCTTCGGATCTAGACCTGTTCATGGGCCGGGTGGCCTGATGGGCCGGCCCAGCCCGGCCCGACCCCCGGACGGGCTTGGACATTTTTATAGGCCCGCGGGCTTAAATTCGGGCCAAAAAGCCCGGCCCGCAATAATTTCGAGCCGGGCTCGGGTTTTGTCAAAATAGCCCAGCCCGAGCCCGGCCCGACCCAACCTAATATTAAACTTAAAATTATTTATGTGATTATGTCCATTTGAATAATTTTTTTTTATTTAAGAATGTAAAATTGTGTTTTAAAATATAAAGAAAGGGAAAAATACCATCTTGTAGGCCCATTGTTCATTTAAATAGAAAAAAAAATACTTATCTGAAATTTTAATTCTAATTTGAATAGGGAAAATTGTTTTTTTTTTTCAATTTGGTCGGGCTTCGGGTTCGGGCTCGGGCTTCGGGCTTTTTACCAGGGCCGGGCTCGGGCCCAAGTTATAGGCCCGTTGGTCGGGCCGGGCTCGGGCTTGGGCCTAGTATATTTTCATTAGTGACAAGTGAAAGCCCAGCCCGAGCCCGGCCCGACCCGGCCCATGAACAGGTCTATTCGGATCCTTACATTATTCTTTTCTTCATTTGTTGTATATGCTCATTTGTGAATTTCATAATTGTGATTTTGAAGGTCAAAGGATTGGCATGATCTTATAAGCATTGACATTTTAAACTCTACTTTGCTATTTGATATTTGTGAAAATTCAATGGTTTATTAAATAACCTAGTTTGATTTTCATAAAGAAAACCATAAAGTATGACAATAGTCTTAAATTCCCAAAATTTGAACCCAAAATAATGGCAGATGGTGTTTTCTTCTATGGTTCGAGAGGAAAAACTTGAATTAGGCTCAAATTGGGTTTAAAAGAAGAGGCAACATGGTTTATTTCCAAAAATTTTAGGGGCATTTAAGATTTTGTGACATGGTTTTCAAATCCATGCCCAAAAAAATATGGATTTGGGCCAAAGGGTAAAATTGGAAAGAGATGAAAAAAATAACAATTTACCCAGGAAAGTGGGTGTTGCAAAAGAATATGGAAAATAATCAACTTCATCTACCTAGATCAATCAAACAAAAAAAAAGAACACAGGTAACTGCATTTACCTAGGTAAATGTGTTTTCGAAAAAAGAACATGGCCTTTATGGTATGACTGGCAAGTTCATGGAGTGCCTCCATGTCCTTAAGAACAGAGCCAAATTCCTCTAAATTGCAATGATAAATCCGAAGAACTAGTTCAGATTTTGTGGTGAAGGTTTTGATGAAGCGATCGAACCTCCAATAGAAGACGCTAAGGAGTGGGGCTAGGGTTAGGATTTGACTTATGTTCATCCACCAGAGCTTCCTGATCTGGATCTCCTTCTAATAGAGAACAAGGAGATGATAGAGAATAATGGCTCACTCAGCCGAGGGTTTCATTAGAATATTTATATACAAGTTTTTTGTTACAAGTGATCAAATCCAAACTAAAAACTATAACAAGATAAAGTTTATTGAGTAGAGTTTTGTTATACAAGAACTCTACGTGAATACAACATCAATATCGAGTAGATCCTTGCTATGCAAGGATTCTAAGTGAATCAGTATCATTGTTGAGTAGAGCCTTCACATGCAAGGACTCTATGTAGGATGTACCGGATGAGTACATCTATCACCCCCTTGCAAGTCTAACGACGGTACTTGGACGAGAGTTTGGACTTGAATGTAGAAAAGCAAGAAGAGGGAAGAGGCTTGGTAAGGACATCAGCAACCTGTTCCTCTCTAGGAATAAACTTAATGATTAAGGACTTGTTGACCACCTTGTCCCAAATGAAATGGATATCAAGCTCAATGTGTTTCGTTCTAGCATGTTGAATTGGATTCGATGCAAGATGAGTAGCTCCTAGATTATCACACTAGAGAATAGGTGGAGAAGAGAAAGAGAAACCCAATTTAGCTTGGACTCAGTACTGGAACAAGAGAGTATGGCAGAAGCGTCCAAACGAGTCGAGGCTAACGTGGGCGTTGAAGCAGGTTTAACATCTTGTAGCTTACAACGGTATAGAAGGTTCTGAATGTACTTATGCTGGGAAATGTGTACCCCTGAAGAAGAGCACCGAATCTCAAGACCAAGAAAATAATGAGCTGGTTCAAAGTCCCGAAGAGAAAAAAAACAGAGGTTAACTAAGAAATGAGAGATTGAATAGCTGTTGAAGAGGAGCCAAAAATGAGAATATCATTGACGTAGACCAAACAAGAGTAATATGATCACCAGCCCGTTTAAAGAAGAGAGAAGGTCAACATGTGAAGCAACAGATTCAAGTTGAAGCAGATGATCATGAAGTCAATGAAACCAAGCTTTGGGCACCTATTTGAGCCCATATAGAGATTTTCGAAGCATACAGACAGTGTGGAAAACGAGAATCATCAAAACCAATAAGTTGCTTCATATAGACATCCTCATTGAGAAACCCATGAAGAAAGGCATTGGATACATCAAGTTGATGTATATACCAGAAAGAAGAAATAGCCAAGGAAAGTAAAGTGCGAATAGTAGTGAGTTTCACAATAGGGCTAAATGTCTCATCAAGTTGATGGTTACCCTT